GTGATTTTGCCCCATCAGACTTATTTTTGAAACCTCAACTCAAAGAAACTTTGAAAGGAACATTATTTGAATGGCTCAAAGATGCCTTAAAAGTACTGTTTTAACATGATATCAATAAAAATCCACAGCATTCTCTGGAGCAGGGTTAAAGAGATGAAGGCACCGCCTTCAGAAGAGTATAGACCAACCTGGGGAACAAGGTGAGAAACAGTGGCTTCACATTTTGCTATTTTTGTTTAATAAAGGAGTCGCTGATTTTGTGCACTCGTTTTTTACTTATCCTTGCGGACCACTGGAATTCACAAGCTGATCCACACAAACATGTTTGACAACAATGCAACAGAAGTCAGTGGAGGAACGGCAAGCTTTTCAACAAACGGTGTTGGAGCAATGGGACATAATCATGCAAAGACACAAAATATCCAAACCAAATTCAACCGCCACCAAAGCCTCATACCTTAGCTGAATGAAACACAACAACCCAACAATCAACCTTCATCCCGCCACTCTTCTGCCTCCCTCCAAAAGTCAACCCGCTAAACAGAACATGGAATGAACTGTAAACAAGACTTTAAAGAGAAGAGCTGATTTTTGTGATATGGGGCTAACTCTTACACTTAGAACTAAAATCATTTTCCATAAAGAAAAAATCATGATAAATTATACTTCATCAGAAACAACAAGGATTCTGTTGCAAAAGACTCCGTGAAGAAGGTAGCCAGTCTGGGCAAATATCATTGTAAACCCTGTCTCTGATGAAGGGCTAGTATGTAGAACTCTCAAAATGCCACAGGGAAACCAAGCAACCTGATTGGAAAATGGGCCATCACTCTGAGGAGACATTGCAAGAGCTAGCATCTCCAAGGGGCCTAACAGTACACAAAAAGTTACTGCACACAATTCATCAGGGAAGTACAAATTGACATGGCAGTGAGCTACTACTACAGACTCCTCAGGATGGCCGAAACAATTGCAAGAACACATGGCGCTGCCAAGGATGCTGAGAAATTGGGTCCCTGATGTATGTGAGGGAGTTTGCAAAGCAGTAGAGTAACTCTGGGAAACGGTTGATCAATTTTTTAACAAACTAAACATGCACCGACCAGATGGGCCAGCAACTGTACCCTTGCGCATTTGTCTCAGAGAAACAAAACAGTGTATTGTCACAACAACTAAACACCCATATTCATAGCACCTTATGTGTCATAACCACACCTGGAAAACCCCAGATGTCCTTCAGATGGTGAATGGTAAGCAAGCTGTGGTAAATTTGTGGAATACACTCAGTAATAAACAGAAGCAGTCTCTTGATGCATACAACATTTTAGATCAATCTCCAGAGGATTATACCGAGGTTAAAGCATCAGCTGAGTTTTAAAGCATCAAGTGGTGATGTGATCTCATTTACATAAGAGGAGACAGCAAAAAAATTAGTAGGGAAATTCCGTTCTTTTAAAATTACATTTCCATGGACTTTTAGAAGCTGCTTCACACTGGAAAATGATGAAATTATAGATGGAGAACAGATCGGTTGCTTCTAAGTGTGATGTCAGGCGTGGGTACAGGAGTGATGTATGTGATTTTAAATGAGGAACAATGAGTGAGTCTTGTGGGGATGGAAATATGCTGTATCTTGGCTGCATCAAGTCAATATCCTGATGGTGATATTGGAATATAATTTTGCATTATGTCATAGGTCAAGGATACATGGCTTCCCTCAGTATATTTTTTACAATGACATGTGAATCTATAATTATTTCAAAACCTGTAATTGCAAAAACATAGTCATCCAGTAAGAATCTCATAGCATGTTGCAGAACATAACCAGCATGATTGAGTCTCAGTGATTGCCTACCATCTGAAATTCTGCTTTCTTCCTAATAACAGCAAGAAAAAAGGATTGGTGACGACTGGGAAACCCAGGGGGTATTTTATAGAAATAAATACCTTGAAACTCCTAAAATCCCCCTGGGGTCACAGTAGCCACCATTAGTTCTGAAAGCATCCCCCACCCGCCAACGCAAACTTATTTACAAAGTCACTTCATTCGGGTCAGAGACCAACCTGAGAGGTTTGGTCACCCACAGTGAATCCTTCCATAATGGAGAAACGGAGAAGGCTGGCTGTTCTCAAGACTTATTGATCTTTTGGTCAGCTTTTTCTAAACAGCTTTCTGAGTTCAGCGAATTTTCTTTATGTAGAGAGCAAATCCTCTAAATACTCAACATTGCAGGAATGATGACTTCAACAGGATGCTCAAGGCAGCAGGGTAGAATGGAAACAACTGCCAGCCAAACAGCAGTGAAAAAACAAACAAACAAAAGCTCACCAGACATGTACTTCCTATGAGTACATGGAGTAATCCAGGAGTCTGGAAGCCCCTGTGAGTGTGACTTGCATGTGTACACACATACAGAGTCTGCCCACCCAGCAAGAGATAAGGACTATTGGTATGAGTGGACACTCCTTTCTGAAATACAGAAAAACACACAGTATTATATGGAAACTGAAAACCAAGTGCTCCAATAAGTACATATCATTTTAATGCTGAGGTTCTCTCTTTTCTAGTAGGTGGCAATAAAGGTTATGTTTTTATAGATAAACAAGATGTTGCTAAGGAACATCTTGTTTTCAGCACATCTTGTTCTGTTGATTCTGAAGGGAAAATGCGGCAGTCCTGGAAGAGTGGGCACGAGAACACAAACGAGAGAAATTCTCCCCAAAAGTAAAGTGATTTTTATAAACATGCATTGTAGAGCTAATACATCCATATGCATATTGTCCTTCAAATTGATTGCCTCGTTTATGAGTATGGAGGCTTAGGCTCATACACTGTTTTATATGGAATATGTATGGGCTGTTTTATTGAGAATCACATCTGCAGGCAGTTTGAAAACCACACAAGAAGAATGCTCATGCTATTTGAGCCCAGTCTTTAGAAATTACATAGCTTTTCTGGATCTTTGTTTCCTCAGCTGGAAAATGAGCCCAATAGCTGTCACGGTGTTAGGGTGACTGTCATGGGAAATAATATTAGGAATTGTACTTGTGCTGTACTTGTACTTGTATTGTACCTATATCAGGTACTCTTCTCAGCTGTCTACATACATCTTGTGGAACCTTACAACAACCCCAGGTAGTAGGTAGTATTGATAATCTCCATTTAACAATAGAGGAAATGGAGATTTTGAGAGGGCAAGGTAACCAAAGTCAAAAGATAGTAAATGGAGGAACCAAGGCTAGTTTCTACTTATCTCTGACTCCAGGGCCCATGCTCTCAAGCATAAAGCCATAATACGTCTGAATAATTAAGGGGGTCAAAAAAGTGAAGTGTCTGCTATACCGTATACATAATATACGCACTCAGAGTGAATACTACTGAATTCAGCTCCACGTTCTTTTAGAAGCCCGTGGTGGGTTGAACTGATTTGTGAAACATTCCTTTCAAAAGTAAAAAGGGCTGGAAGCAATGGTCAGCCTTAGGTGAATTTCTCGGTGATTGACTGCGAAGATAATGTTTCATAGCATTAAGGCCATCCCAACAGCCCATAGTAGACAGAGATGGGCAAGTCCACTTGGCTTTAGGCCACCTGCCTTTGCATAAGCAAATATGGAAAGGATTCTCCTCTTAGAAGTTTGGCAAGCTTAACAGGTCTCTACTCTCAGGGAGTCTTATCTACCCACCAAAGCATGTAATTAGTTCCCTTTGTGCATCGGGCCTGGTGCCCAGTTTTATGAATCTGCAACCGCTATTAGCTGGAGGAGACCTCCTGAGGGAAGAGAAAGAAGGTTGTGGAGTCACACCTTTCAAAATCTGACGGCACCACTTCATCAGCGATTGCAGATAAGGATGAAAGATGTTTATAGGTAAGAATTGGGTTGATTACATTATTATTCAAAGGCCTCGTATAAGTCAATTGTAGGAGGTTTGAGATGATCTGTCTAAGAAAAACAGAATAATTTCTTGGAAATTGATGCCCTATCACATGGAAAAGAGATCAGGTTAGTGCGGCTTCATTCACCTTACATGCAGGACAGTCAACAAGTAAGGCGGGGATAGTTATATGTTTATGGCTAGTAGCTCCCTAATGGCTCTTCATCAGTCCCCATGAGCCAATTGTTATAAGGATTGAATATGAGTACGGATGGTTCCTCTATCACCAACAGTAGAATTAAGCTTGAAGGAGAGTGGGCTGCGTGCTATGAAAAAGTGGGTAAGTTGCCAAATATGTAAGAGGATTTCCATTAATAAGACAATTCCATTTGGTCTGTTATATTTCTCCTGTTCTGCTACCTGGGACAGGGTATCTAGTTAGATTAGGAAACTCACGCCCGAATGCCTTGTTCTCCCTTCCAGCACACAGAGAACGTCATTACTCCTTCTGTCTTGTGAAAGAGGACGGCAGTTCCACGAACTGTGGCCATTTGCACCACAGCCAGCGAGCAGAGTGGGGGCCGCACTAGAGAATGGAGGGAGGCAGCAAAAACTGTGCTAGGCAGAGCTCTGTAATTGCTATTTATGAAGACAGCAATTCCTATCATCTTCTTCCAACCAAAAACATGAAGTGGCTTTGAGGCGCTCTGGTCCCAAGTCATTTTGTAGTTGTAGGCAGTATCTGTTGTATTACTATTAACATATACTGGGTTTGTTGCCCACCTGCCTCCCCCAATTCAGCTAACTTTATGCCATCATGGTATGAAATGAGAGTTTGGCATTCAGCAATCTATCCTGCCCAGTAAGGTTACCTTCTCGAGGTTCTGCATTATATTTCCATGTAAAGAAACCAGAAATGCTCACAATTGGGCCAATTAACAACCACAAAGAAGGAGGGCTCCTGATAAGATGAGATTTAGTCCCATAGGGTCATATCAGGGGGGACCAGATCTCATTGAAAGCCATAATGCTTGGTAAAGTTGCAAGTCAGAGCCCCCCTAGAAGCGCGCGGAACCCCGCGCAGCCCTGGTCTCTGCAGAAGCCGTGGCAGCACAGTGGTGGCGGCATGGATCTCAGCGAGCTGGAGAGAGACAAGGGCCGCTGTCCTCTGAGCTCACCTGTCCCCACGGTGTGCCACAAGGAGCCTTGCGCCCAGGGCGTGGATGAGGCTGGCCAGGGTCCAGTGCTGGGCCCCATGGTTTACGCCATCAGTTACTGTCCTGTGTCCCGTTTGGATGACCTGAAGGCCCTGAAAGTGGCAGACTCAAAGACCCTGTCGGAAAGCGAGTGGGACCGGCTCTTTGCGAAAATGGAGGACAGAGACTTTATGGGCTGGGCGCTTGACGGGCTCTCTCCAAACCTCATCTCCACCAGCATGCTTGAGCGGGTCAAATACAACCTGAACTCCTTATCCCATGATACTGCGGCTGGGCTGGTGCAGCATGCGATGGACCAGGGCGTGAACGTCACCCAGGTATTCGTGGACACGGTGGGGATGCCAGAGAAGTACCAGGAGAGGCTTCAGCAATGCTCCCCTGGGATTGAGGTCACCGTCAAGGCCAACGCAGATGCCCTGTATCCTGTGGTCAGTGCTGCCAGCCTCTGTGCCAACGTGGCCCGAGACAAGGCAGTGAAGAACTGGCAGTTCGTGGAGACACTGCAGGACCTGGATACCAATTATGGTTCGGGGTACCCCAGTCATCCCAAGACGAAAGCCTGGTTGCAGAAGCATGTGGAGCCGGTGTTTGGCTTCCCCCAGTTTGTCTGCTTCAGCTGGTGCACGGCCCAGAGCATCCTAGAGAAGGAGGCCGAAGGTGTCACGTGGGAGGACTCCTCATAGAGGATCAGGAGGGGCCTGGCAGGGTCACCTCCTACTTCCTCAGTGAAGCTCCCCGCCCGTGCCCCCCACACCGTTACTTCCCAGAGCATGGCCTGGAGCCGGCCAGCATCCTCTGAGTGCCAGGCAGGAGCCCCTTGAACTGGCCTCCCCCCACCTTCCTCAGCTAGTGATTGAAACCACTATGGAAAGCCCAGTTTGGGGTCTCTCCTTTGGGGTGGAGGTGAAGTGCTTGGCACGCCCACCCCCACTCTGACTGGTTTTATTTCACTTTCAAACCAAACGCTTCAAAATCAGAAACATCTAGAGGCTTCCCAGTCGCCCTGCCCCAGATCACTGACCGGTGATCTGGCCGGGCCTGCGGGCTCTGGAGACTGTGCAGAGGTACAAAAGCAATATCACCCTGTTCTAAACCAAAAAAAAGAAAGTGAAAATGAAGAATACTCTTAACAGGGTAAATGGGTACAGTGGTCTCAAACATAGCAACGGTGTGGGACTGGGCAGCATCGCTTTCAGTTAGATGCTTGCTGGTATCTTACAAGAATAACAGCATGCATGTCTTGCTTATTGAAGAATCATGAAACATTCCATTTAGTTAAATTCTCCCAAAATTATTATTATACCTTTACCGTGTCTATTTACCTCCCTGAGGATTAATTTCCACACCTATAAAAACATGGCTCAATTAGTCTGTTGCAACATTTCATGATTCTCGTGACAGTAACCATGAACATTTTCCCTTTGGGAAATAAATAAATAATAAAAGAGGATTTGGAAAATGAGAGGATTTTAAAATAACTGACAGAATCTAGGAATGAGACCAACCAAATTTAGTTGCTGGGGAATTTTGAAGTCCAGTAATAGAAAATATTAGCATAAAGATGCATGTGATTGGGAAATGGAAACAAGAAGACAGTGAAGAATAATCATCTTTGGATATGGATCAAATTTTTACTAATTCTAATTCTGACTCTCTGCTTTCTAGTTTCTTTTGATTTGGATGTTATGATTTTCATTACTGGTCCTTACCAAAATATAATCTCACCAAAAAACAAGCAAAGTAAAACAAAGCAATGAACAAAACTGTCAAAAATCAGTTATTTGCTAGGCTCCCGTCACTTACTGGTACCCCAGTGGATGAACAGTTGATGCGTTCTTTTATTTTCTCATCCAAGAAATATGGATGGATTAATTTCTATGTGCCCGGTTCATAGGAGAGCCAAGTACTGAGGACTTGCGCATGAACAGATAACCATTCTACCTAGTCTCTGAATTTGTCTCAATATGCACTACAGAGGAGCCCACAAACAACTCCAGTAAATACTGGGATAGGACAAGGCAAGAATGCCATGAAGACAATTTTCCAGAGCAGTAGTTTCCCACTATGGGAAATGTTGCTACTTGTGAGACATTTTGCAACATAGGGAGACAATTTTGAAAACGCAACTGCAGGGGAATGTGGCCTCAGATGTTACTGGCACCTGTTTGCTAGGGCCAGGTGTGCTGTTCCACATCCTGCAACGCACAGGACAAGGGCCTAAAGCAAGGACTGTCTGTTCTACTGTTTCAGTGTCGATAGTACTGAAGTGGAGCGGCTCTGCTGAAGAGGTAAGGGCTCAGGAAGACTTCCTAGAGGCAGTGATGCATGATGTTAGAGCTGAAGCGTGTGTAGGTGTTAGCTACCCATTGAATTTAGAAAGAAGGAGGTTGTCGGTGACCTTGGCATGGAACAGTTTGAAATGCTTTGAAGAGTGAGTGGGAAGTGAGAACGTGGAGATCCAGATATAAACTTTATTTTAAAAGCTTGGCTGGGGAAGAGATACTGCAGTAACTGGAGTGGGGTGGGATATGAATGCATGATAGTGTTGGTTTGATTTGGTTTAAAGATGCAGAAGATGTGAACATGTTTAATGCCGGTGGGAAAGAACAGAGAAAAAGCTATTAAAAAGGCAAAAGAGGTAAAGGAAAAGAATAGAGAGAGGTCTTCACATATTATCTGATTGCGTGAAGCGTAAAGAATTGACAGGTCTGTACAATAGAAACTAGATCAGTGGCTGTTCACTTTTGAAGGCATGGGGTGGGAGTAGAGGAGTATTCCTGCTAAGGGGAGTGATTCAAAGATGCATTAGTCAATAAGGGATATAAGCACAGGCTTACTTGTGCTTGCCTCCTTATTTGTAATGGACAATTTCACAGTTTTCCAGCACGCCAAAGATTCTCTAAGTATGGCTGGCATCTATCTCAACTCCAAAGCACCTCTTCCAGAATTAAAGCCTCTTTTCAAATGTATCATCCCTGCAATAAACATGGGCTTACTTGTGCTTACTTCCTTAATGGAGTGAACAATTTCACAAGAGTTTCATTGATAAGACAGGGGGGTTGGCAAGAGGGGTGAGATCGGAGGTTTGAAAAGAGGACACAGCTTTTGAAATAGTTCCCAAGAAGAGTAGGGAGTGTGCGTAGCAGTCCAGCGTCTGGCTGCGGAGCGCTGAGAGATGAATTGAATTTGGAGACTATGACCTGCCAGTGGCCTCAGTCAGCCGGGGGGTTTGACTTTCATCAGCTGGCCTCCTAGACTTGGAAGTCAGAGACCAGGCCGTCACCATGAATGACTCGGCCTATGGTTTCATGAGGCAAGGGGCATGGAAGGTATATGGGAGCTGTGTGCTGAGGAAAATGGTAACAGTGGGCTAGAAATGATAATCCACAAAACCTGCAGATGAAAGAAAGTGTGGGGTGAAGTGCTAAAGTTCCAACTGTGGCCTGGACCAATATGCTATGGCATGTTTTATGTTCTTCGGATGGCAGGATACATAGGCCGTTGGGTAAATGAAAGGCAAATCCAAAGGAGAGAGGGGGGTGGACCTGAAGCCATGGTTACAGCAAGCTGGAGTTGTGGAGTTGGAAGAAGTCTGGCAAGCTGGTTGCGTTAGTTAGATTTTCCTGGGTCTCTTGGGGATCAAATAATTTGGGCCATTTATCTGCTCAGGTACAAGGGGCTAACCCTAGGTTTTTCTTAGCTGGTCAAACCCACCAGATGCTCAGCATGAAACATGTACCGTCCCAAACCCTATCGATATTGGGTCACTATGTGTTGAAATCAAGTCCATGGCAGTGGGTGGTGAGGGATAGTGGCCCCGGAGTGTGAAAGCCAAACGGGAAAGTGGTCAGGGCGTATCTGTCATCAGCCACTTACAAAGAGAAATTTCTCCCCCTGTAGCATTTCAAAATTGGGTGGGTGCCACGCTAAGGTATGACGAGGTCCCCTGGGGTTGGCAGATGTTCATATCAGGGTGAAGAGGGGTGCTGAGGGGAAAGTCCCTTCGGTAGTGGGGAAAACGCCAGAGCCTGTTTGTGGGTCGAAAATGGGGAGAGCCAATGTCTCAGTGTGGGGGGAAATGACTGACAATACTTGTAAGGACCCTAAGGAAGGAGTATGTCTGATAATATGCTCCCAATAAGCCAGTCTGAGTTTCTGTACTCCCCCTGGGAACCAGGCCTGTTTCAGGGAACACTGGGACATGGAACCCTGGAGCTGCAAGGCACACAGCGTGCTCCTTAGTCCATATTAGAGGGATGCGGTATGCAAACCGAGGTAGACAAACCGGACTCTACCTCAAACCCACCTGTAACCTGAGGACTTAAGACTGAAATTACATGGTGTGTGAAGAAGCCAAAGACAGCTATACCAAGAGTATGGGACTGCTGGTAGACGAACTAACATTTACTTGATGCTGTAATGCCCCACTTGCTGCTTTAAGATACGTATTATTCTGGCAGGCCCGTGTCTGATATTTTCAGTGAATATTATTGTAAATTTTGCCTGACTACCAAGTCCCATTGTCTGTGCAAATAGCATCCAGTCATGTAAGGACTTATTCAGTATAATAATCCAGGGAATAATCCAGGTATTGCAATATGTTGCCTACACTTGTTCAAACTCCCTCTCTCAATAGTATTTCAAAATCAGTACTATAAATGAATCAATGACACTATAAACAGAGGCTCCTTATGTTCTAGAGCAGTGGTTCTCAACCTTCCTAATGCTGTGACCCTTTCATACAGTTCCTCATGTGGTGGTGACCCCCCCAACCATGAAATTATTTTCATTGCTACTTCATCACTGTCTCTTTGCTACTGTGATGAATCAGGCGACCCTTTCTTTGGATTTTGAGTTTTTAAAGCATCTATGAAACTGGAAGGTGTTCTTGAAACATGGCTCAAAGTCTTATTTATTGGTGATTTCAAGCATGTGCTATATCTTCCCTTTCAATCAAGAGAAAGCAAGGAAAGGGTGGTGAATTCAGCTACGTGCAGAAATTTGGCAAGAAAGGCAAGGAAGGGGTTAGCTGTGGCCATGGTGACACCGGTTGACAGTCTAACCAGGTAAGCTTGATCTTTCACAGGGAGCCAAGAGAGCAGAGCAGACAAAAATAATCTGTCATCATTTGTTGTCTTTCTCTGAAGCCTCTTTCCAAAATTTCATGTGCTGAAAACAGGGTTATTTCCCTGGTTGCAAAAGCTCAGTTTTTGAATGCCTAAGAAGAATAAATATGTCTTCTTTGGCATGGACAATGACTAATGACCTTTGGGGTCTCTGTGTGAACCGTCTGTGCCCTGTGGCTTTGAACCTGCCCTTGGGAAAGCATGGGGAAGCACGTGCTCAAACAAACAGCACTGTAAAGGGTTCTTTAGTTTTTTTAAACTAAATTGCACCTTCCACGGATCCTTTTAATATCGTCTTCATGATCCTCCTCGTCGCCACAATGAGCTAATGTTCATTATCTTCGCTAATGTGTTAACTAATAATAGCTGCAGATATTATCTCTCCTTGGAGGGGGGTGTGCTGAATATTTATTCCTATATTTATTCAATGATAATTACTAATCTCTTAAAATAATGAAAGCAATATGTGCTCATTAGAAAAATTAGAAAATACATAAAATAATAAAAAGAAAATCCTCTGTAATACCTCCTCATCAAGATAATCACTTTTGTGTCAT